TCAACACAGGAATGTGGAGGACACGAAAACTCAGTCTATCACCCACATTGACATATTCTTCATTTAGTTATGTCACACACAGTAAGATTCCCTTCCTGAATTGTACACTTTGGAGACATTTATTTAAGACTACTTAGCTTTAACAACTGTGAGTTTGCATCACAGTTTAGCCCCCAGAGGACCCCTCAGTACTGACTGCATGTATTTCCTGGGAGAGGTAGTGTATTTGTTAGTAATTGATATCTATGTGTGTTCCCTTTCACAAGTGGTTTGTTATAGTCAAGGGTTGACAGTTGAAGTGCTTTTTGGGGTTAGACAATAATTGATTGAGTGAAGCAGGCATGATAGAAGTCCCCATAGAAATAGACACCTCTGACTCAGTTCAGACAATCCATAGCCATGCTGTCATATAGACCCTTAATTATCAGATCTTCTTTTTAAAAGAAAAGGAGAAATTTAAATATTAATGTGAAATCTGGCATAGTGTGGATCCAAAGAGTCTTCCAAAGGCTCCTGTGTTAATGGTTTATTCACCAGCCTGTGGGGCTATTGGGAAGTGGTGGGGCCTGGTAGAAGGAAGTTAGGTCATTGGGGTTCTTGAAGTGGATATTGGGACTCTGGTCCTGTTTGTTTCCTCTCTTTGCTTTCTGGCTGCCATGAGGTAAGCAGTTTTGCTTCACCACATGCTTCCCATCATGATGTGCTGCCTCACCGTTGGGCCAGAAACAATGAACCCAACTGACCATGGACTGAAACCTGTAAAATCATAAGCCAAAATAAAATTTTCTTCTTTTCAAGTTGGTTATCTCAAGTATTTTGTCACAGTGATGGAAAACTATGTCATAGTGATGGAAAGCTAACATATGTTCTGACTTTTGAAAGGCAGAAACTGGGGGCTGGGGATTTAGCTCAGCAGTACAGTGCCTGCCTGGCAAGCGTGAGATCGTGAGTTTGATTCCTGTTGCCGGAAAAACACCAAAAAAAAAAAAAAAAAAAAAAAAAAAAAAGGCAGAAACTAATTCAGTTAAAACACGACACTGGATACAAGCCTAACAAAATATATCTAATTTCTGGATATTGTGGGAAGCCCTGGCATGGGAGTTCACCGTTTCTGGTTTCTAGTTAAAACTTTGCCTTATAAATCACTGTGAGGTATGGGGGAAGCTCCATCCCCTCTTGAGGCTTAGATTCCTTTTCTTTGAATTACCAAGTGAAATTATCTCTATGGTTTCTTCTTGATCAGAATTAGTCTGCTAAGGCTGACATAACGAAATACTATAGGTGAAGTGGCTTACATGACAAAAATTTATCTTCTCAAAGTTCTGGAGGCTCTAAGTCCAAGATCAAGGTGTCAGCATGTTTGGTTTCTTCTGAGACATCTTTCCTTGGTTTGTAGATCACTGTCTTCTCCTTGTGTCTTCACATGACTTTGCTCTGTGCACACACATCCTAGATGTCCCTTCCATTTCTTCTAACAACATCAGCCATATTGGATGAAGACACAACATTTATGTCATTACTTAACCTTTATTATCTCCATAAAATAGTCACATTGGCAGGTAGGACTTTAACATTTGCTTTGGACAGAGGTGGGGACATAATTAAATCTATAAAATGGCCTTAGAGCCTGTGCTTCACTGACAAGTCACTGAGGTTAGACATGACTGTAATTAATCCGTCTTCCCCTTGCTTTCTGTGTCTACCTTCCACCTGCTCTGCCCTGCCCTGTTCTTGGAGAGGCTGATTGCTAAGGATGACACCAGTGCCTTCTGCTTTCGATTAGGGTTAGCCAGTGGGGGAAAGAGATGAGAGAGAGAAGGAAGAGAATGAGATTGGGAGAACTTCATATTAGGGGTGCTATATGATGGCCATAAACCTTCACTGACAGTCATTGCTCCTGTCCAGAAGTTTCTGTGTCTCTAGGTTCTCCATCAGGTTTAGGGTGATAATGCCTCTACTTTTATTCACCTCAGGACCCAACATTATCCCATTATGGCTTCATACCCTTCTACACTTTTGAGAAGAGTTCCTTTATTTCACATTTCTCAAGTCACCCAACTGCGGGTGCTAGAACTCTGACCAATACAAACAGATTATGAAGAAATCCCATTGATGAGCCATCATATCCACCTGCTATTTTGCATCCTCATCCTTTTTACTCCAGCAAACAGTTCTGTTTTAGCCTGGGGTTTGGCTGGACTTCCCAAAACCACATACTTTTGTCCTGAGGCAACCCACACCGTGACTCTTGCTGCAAATCTCCTATTTTCAAAAGTGGGGCTTAGGGAAGGTGATTAGATCATGGGGATGCTACACCCATCAGTGGATTAATCTACTGATGTGTTCTTAGCTAACTCTGCTGTAAAGAGTTGGTACCTGGTTGCAGGTGGTTACTGGAGGTGTGAAGTAGAAGGGTGTGTTCTTGTCCCCAGATCTTCCCTTCCCTCTGCTTCCTGGTTGCCATGTGTTGAGCAACTTTCTTCTGCTGTGCCTTTCCACCATGCTGTTTCTGCCTTGGAGTTAGACAGCCATGGACTCAACCCTCTAAAGCCATGAGCCCAAATAAATCTCTTCTTGAAGTTGTTGGTGTCAAGTATTTTGTTCCAGCAACAACAAAGTGACTAATACATTCATCACAGTTCCTTTGACAGTATAAAAAAAAAAGTTGGAAAATGCAGCCCTCTGCAGCTGGGCTCTGGACACTACTTAGTCAACATCACATTTAATTATCTGTTCCAAGCAAATAGGCATTTCCCTAAGGATGGAAGGGTGTGTTTAGAATTACATTAGTCAGTTTCTTCTCATGATAACAGATTTTGGAAGGCAGAGCATTTTCCCTCCTTCATCTATAGGATGCACGCTGAAAGCCCTCTTTATTCTTATTGATATTCCCCCACTAAACTTTTAGGCACTATGCAGGCTGTATATACACAGAAAAGTATAGATTAACAAGGAAAATTTAGCAACTCATTCAGTATCCAGAGTGAAGGAAAGGAAAACATACATGAAGACTAATTATAATACTAGATGGAAATGAAGTCAAGTAAGTACTGTAACAGTCAATCAGGGGGTTGGGGTTGAATGTAGTGGCACATGAAGGTGGCTTAACAGTAAGGACCCTGGACATGAGCTGCCTGGGTTTGTGTCTTGACTCATTTCTTAATAGTTCTAACATTATGGGCAAGAAGCCATCTTCTTAAACTTTTACACATTATAGGCAGTAATAGATCATTTTTATTAGAAATAAATGATATATATTGCCTTGATGTGCTTAGCCAATTTACCAGACTATCCTAAGTACTTAATAAATGTTAACTTTTGTTGTTACTTAGTAAAGGTTGTACAAAGGAATGGGGTTTGTGGTGGCCTTGAAGGATGGGAAGATTTTTTTTGGGAAGGTGTTGATCATTCCAGAAAAGCAGATCATTCCAGAAAAGCTGATCTATAGGGGTAGTTTATTAGGGAAAACAGTGAAAAGTTGGTTGAAGCCATATCAAGGACACTGAACACCAGGTGAAGAATCTATAAATAATTTTTAGGCAGTGAAGAGCCACTGAAAACAAGAATTTTAAGCAAGTGTGTGTATATATATACTTTAGGAAACATTAATATAGCATTTTTTTTGAAAACTGTGTTGAAGGTGGAGAAAAAGGTGGAAAAAGGAAGTGTGAGACTATTACTATTGTTCATGTAGGTAGTTGCAAGATCTGACTTAGGGGAAAGTTGGTGGATAGTAGCCAAACTTCTAACATCTGACAGAACTGCTTAGGTAAGAGCCAGGCCAGTGGATAACTGAAATGTTAAGAGCCACTCAAGTCAAATGGTCATACTTAACCTCAATTGGAGATTAAAAAGAGGCACTGAATTGGAATGTCAACCAATGACAAAGTAACACACATTTTGCAAAATTTGGATTTTAACACATATTATTTGGGAGCAAAGTACAGAGTCCACCTATATTGCCACATATAGTGCTGGCACCCAGAGTTAAGAGGTGGGGTCAAGGAACAGGGCATGGATGCACATGCTTTCATGTGGGCTGCAACACAGAACAGTATGTGGCAGAAACTCGAGCAACTGATAAGTGTCATCAAAGAGCACATCTACATATTTGTTCAGCCCCTCTCACAGCTCCACCCCATTCTGACGAAGAAGCCTGCTAACATTTAGTCAGAGTTTTATTTAGAAATGTATTGCCTTGGCTGGTATTTTCACTTGTGAGAGCTGGCTGTCCTAAATCTAGTAGAGAAGTGCCCTGAAACCTACATACTAGGCCAAAGAAGGTACAGAGTAAGGCCAGATTTTTCCAGCTGGGAAATGAATGTTAGTCAAGGAATGCAGTAAGGGAGGATGGAGCCAGAGAAACAGAGCCTTAAGCTCTTTGCTCTCACATCTAGAAAGGATTTATAAAGAATGGTAGGGCAGGGACTAGAACATAGGAACTAGAGGGATACCCAAGTATCCAATTGAGCAACATCTCTGAGAATTTAGAGCCCTTTGATGAGCCTTGTGCACAAGCTGATGAAATACAGGTGATTTCCCTAGCACAGAAAAGTAAGAGGTAGTCAAAGTTCTTTTCAGAATCAGAGATTCCTTCCCTATAGAGTAGGGTCATTTGGTGAGCCACGGGTCACACTACGGGAAGACCATCTCCAACATGGCTAACCATAGGAGCTGTCCACGGTGCTGGAGCGGTCCCCTTTGAACTCACTCGGAGGCTTTTTGTTAGCTGCTGTGTGATAGACATTGAGTCAGGTGCCTCATACACATTGTGTCTTTTAATCCTCATGCAGCCCTGCAAAGTCAGTATTTTTATCAGCAGGCTTGTTTCTACAGAGGAGAAAACTAATACTCAGAGCTTTACTTTCTACCTTACCAAATTCGGATATATGAATAACCTTTTCAGAGATCAGACTGAAATACTTTCAGCCTAACAGGAAGAGTATATCTGTTTCACACCCTCTCTCTAGTCTATTAAATGTATATTGTTCTCTTTGCAGGTGGAGTGATGGGGATTTATACCGAAGACCACAAGATTGTAAGTCACAGGAGAGTTTTTAATGTGAAAGATTAAGCATGCACACTCATATTTCACACCATTAATGACAAATGTTTGTAGAAATTTCAAATATTTTGGTTAAGACAATGAAAAGTTACCCCTCTGGGCTAGAGGAAAGCAAATCATGGGTTTTTGTGAAGATCAACAAGATCGTGTTACTCTGTAATAGTTTTCTCTTTCTTTTTCTTGGCTATAAGATAAAAAACAGGTTATATGATAGAAAAAATAGAAGACTGGTAAAGGGCTTTATTTTATTAAATTGGGAAAAATCTTTGCTAGGCTAGTTGAAGTCATGACAAAGGAAAATTTATGTGGCCCTTTGATAACAAATTTTAGGGTCTAAAGCATCACTTGTACTGGAGAAGAGATGTAGCTCAAACTTTAAGGTTAAAAATTTCAGGAAGAGATAGCTGTTTTTAAGGTATGACCAAGACTATGAACCAAGTCAGGGATTCTCACTCTGGGCTTGAAGACCTTGGGAGAGAGAGGGAAGAGAGAGAAGAGAAGTTCACAAATGGGCTCTGGGGAGATATGCATGACTTCAAAATGTAGGCAAATGTGTATGGATGCATTTTTATAGAAAGGAGTTGATGACTTTCAAGAGATTCTCAAAATGTCCAGGAATAGCTACAGCATAAGAGCTCCTGGTTTAAGTAAGCACTCCAGAAAGTTAAGACTCAGTGAACAATGTAGTTATAACTACATATTTATACTTCTGGGTTTGAAATAAGCAGCTCATTTTAACATGACACTTATGATAATTTGAATTAATGCTTATGTTTGTATATTTCAGTAAAGAGTTGGTTTTATAGGAAACACATCTAATTAAGTAGAAACTGTGCACTGTTCTTTTCAATTGGATTTACCCCTCAAGGGAGCCTGCAAAGTGAAAGGAAACATCAATAAGTCAGGAAACATTTGATGAGAGTCCATGATGTAAGAAGGCTATCACTCACCTGCCTAAAATTCAATAATGTTCTCTAAATAAGACATGCATATTTTAGTGTAAAGGTTGCAGGTCACTCTGTGTCCCCAGTTATCTCCAAAATGGCCCATTAACTGTTACTGAGACAGAAAAGCAGGAAAATCTCCAAGTAGGGACCATTCTCCGTTTTGTTTATTCAGCAAAGTTGCTTACTGAGTTGCTTACTGATGGCCAAATATTTTATTTAGCTTCATGAAGATAAGAAACAGGATTCAGCTGGATTGCTAAAACTCACTAGAAGGGGCTGGGGATTTAGCCCTGTGGCACAGCACCTGCCCGCAACCGCAAGATTGCGAGTTCAATCCCTGGTACCAGAAAGCCCCCCGAACCCCCCAAAAAACCCCCCAAAAACCCCAACTCACTAGACGGAGGACGAGTGCATGTAAAATTCTTTTCTTTCTACAGTTCAAATGTTTATCTTTTCATGACTTTTATTATGCACTGATTTAAAGAGCAGTGTGTGTGTGTGTGTGTGTGTGTGTGTGTGTGTGTGTGGTGAGGCCACACCATCCACAAAGAACATTTGATTCCTCTGAAGTGTTTTTGACAGCTCAGAGAGCTGATATAACTCAGAAAATGTGTGCTGTTATTTTGGTAAGAGCAGAAGAGTAAGTATAGTTTCATCTCAGAGTTTCCCATAAAACACCTCAACTTACCAAAGGATACAAATATGTGGTTAATATGCCATAACCCATGACCTCCCAGAAGCTTCTAAGTAACTAAGAAGGTGAGGATTCCAGAAATGAGGATGTACAGGGCTATTGTCTTATCTCAGGACAGAGGCATGTGTGACCTGGAACCAGCTATGACTTGGAAAGACCCCAGCCCTGTAAGATAAAATATGCTCTAGGGTGACAGGTCCAGTTGCTAGGAGTTGGGTGACCAAAAATAAGGACTTCTGGAGGACAGCCTTGGAGGTTTGTGTCTATTTCCTGAGAGTGGGGTATAGGTCAGGGCCTTTACTGTGTTGAGGTGTCAGAACAGGGTATATGATAGGCAGCTTTCCATTGCTGTGACAAACACCTAAGACAATCAATTTACAAGGAAAAAATATTTATTTTGGCTTTTAGTTTCAGATTGTGGTTGCTTGGCCTTGTTGCCTTGGGGCCTGCAGTGAGGCCAAAGATCATGGTAGCAGGACAAGGTGAAGGTGGAGGCAGATGGTGGGGGAGTCTGCTCACCTCATGGTGACCAGGAAGTAAAGAGAGGGAATGGAAGATGCCAGGATCCCAATATACCCTTTAAGATCATGTCCCCCAGTGACCTACTTCCTCTGACTAGGCCCCACCTCCTAAGTTCCTACTCAGCAGTACCATCAGCTGGTGTCCAAGCCTTTAACACATGAGCCTTTGAAAGACACTGCAGATTCAAACTATAACAGGGATGGGAGGTCATCAGGACAACTTCCAAAAGGGATCCAATGTATAGTGCAAGTTAGAATGGAACTGGAACCAAGAATGTTCTTTTGTACTGCTTTGCACGTCTTAGGTGCTATTCCTTACTCCCTGACTTTCTACTTCCCTTCTGTGACTGAGGGAGAATGAGGCTAAGAGCTGTTCATGACTTGTGCATTCCCCAGTGGAGACAACCCAGAAAAGTTAAATTGATTTGGGCTAGCTTCAGTCTACTAGGAAGTCAGTAGATATGAAACTAGCTCAATATTATGACTATCTTGATAGTTACAGAGCTCTTGCCCCCGTGGCAATAAAATCACAAACATAAAACACATTCCGAGAAGTGTAATATCATTCAATCATCCCAGCATCCTTGTGTGGTAAGCACTGTCATTCTCATTTTACAAACATGGGAACCAATGAACAATGATGTTAGGCAATTGCCTAACATCTCACTGATTATGAGTTGCAGAGCTGGGCTTTAAGCCCAATCAGGCTCCAGTGTCTATGTTATACTGCCTCTGGACTTTTGGAATAGCATATTATGCTGTTTTTCACCGTTGTCTTTCCCTCAAATTAAGCCTTTTGTTTGCTCACTCAAACTCACCTGTTCAAAGGAACAAGAAAGGGTAAAAATATGGGGAAAGCCTTTGGTGATATATTAGAATACAACCCAGGGAGGGGTCCAAAGTAATCTTTGCTGAAGATCCCATTTCACCACTACTTCCCACAAGTCAAAGTTGGTGAGATATGGGGGTTCTAAGTGACATTCTTCATTCTATTCTTTGAATACTGTTTGGTTGTTCAGCCAGACAGAGATTTGGTTCCTGGCACTGTCTCAGTTGACAGGTGAGATGGAATCTCCAATGATGTGAAGGAAGCACATTTCTGAAGCTGCATGGGCCAACTACATCCTAGTGCTAGAAAATAGGGCCCTTTTTTCTGGACTTCAACTCCCAAGGTAGGGGGCCCTTGTTGTTGTACATGAAAGTGCACCTAGGAATATTGGGACCAGCACTCCCATGACATTTCATGTGATCTTAAATAAAACTGCTATTGTCTACTTGAATTAAAATCTGAGGGTACTCAACTTATAGGTCAGTGAACTAGTAATTCATTGTAACGTGAACTTCATGGGTTTCTTGTATAGCTCTTAATGAGCTATTTAAATATTAATGAGAGGCTGAACATTGTTTTTTCAACTCACTGAAGTAAATTTATGATGCAGTGAAATGAATTTACTTTACATTCTGAAGAGGGGAGAGTAGTAAATTTGATAAAGAGTAATTTCCCTTCCTGGTGAATTCTGAGAAGGTTTTAGGCATGAGGCTAAATTTACATGTAAAACATTTAAATATGCAATAACAAAGTTTGACCTAAAGAATTGGATATATGGGGAGAAACGTTAGACCATGCTTTCTAGTTCCCTGTGGAAAAGTCAACTATCTGAGGTTTGATCTTACTCTTAAGTATGCCCAGCACCAGCAGTACATTAAGATGATTAGAACTTGGTTTGAATTTCATACATAGGTTTGAAGTTAATAGCAGATGTGTGAGAATCAGGTCCAATTTTACCTCTTTTATATACTTAATGTGCCTGTTCTCATAAATCACGAAATGTCAAAATGTAAAGCATCCCTGGAGAATCTCTATCTTGTTCAGATGTAGAAACTGAGGCTCATTTAGGGAGAGTGACTGCCCAAGTTCACACTGCAAGTTAACAACAGAAGTGAGAAGTCAGGTCAGCTAGTGCTTTGGGGGCAATACCTGTGACCTCTGTCCAGCTACAGCTTCAGCCTTTCCCTAGAGATTGAAATGGGATTGATTCTTTCATGCATTTACTCTGAGCTGTGATCATACTCTCCCACCTAATGCCTTCATGGGCCCATCAATATTAATGGGTGGTGAATGTGTCAACAGTTCCTAAATGCATTGGGAGCTGTACTTTATACACAGAAAGATGTGCACTTTGAATTTCTTAGAGGTTTATTTAGACTTGATTCTTATAGTCTTTAGTTTTTGCTTTTGTTTTGTTTTGTTTTGTTTTGTTTTTCAATGGAGTGAACTTGCAGCTTGGAACAATCAGTGACTAGTCTGCAGTAAAGAATATAGATCACAGTGACCATAGCCTTTGGGAACACATTGACAGTGCAGCTTAGAGAACTATCACCCAAGGAAAGTTGCTGAAGACCCATGTGCCAATCTATGCCTCCAGCCTTATTGCTAACAATTCTCTTTGTGGATCTTTATTTCCTAATCAAGTTGAAGAGCTTTCTCTTGCTTCTCCAACCTTCTTCCTGCTGTCTTGTATTAGTGACCTTGACTATTCTATTTTAATTTCTTTAATGGCCTTTCATCCAAATATACATATTTTCAAATCCTACCCATTTGGCCCATCCAAATTCAAGCCATTTGCTATTGTTATGTAACATATCAATGGCTTTGATGAAATGTAGTTTTTGCATGCGTTGGTTCTGATCCACTTTGCTGTGCTCCATGGTATCTGGAACAGTGACTTCTATAGAGGCATCCATGAATGAAGGAATAATTAATTAAATGATTGAACAGAAGAGTAACCCTTGTGGTAATCTTTCACTGAATCAAAGACTGCAGAAGTTAAAGTTTTACTGTCATCCTACTTTTAAAAGAGCATTTTAGCATGTTCATATCTATTGCTACATTACAATCTACCTAAAAACTTAATGCCTTAAAATATCAAGTCATTATTGTTCTTGGTTTTATGGACTCACTGAACTCAGTTGGGTGTTTTGGCTTAAGGTTTCTCATGCAGTTTGAAGTCACATACAAGCTACGGTTGGAGTCATCTGAAGGCTCGACTGGGCTGGGTGTCCAAGGTGCACTAACATGGTAGCAGTTGTGCCACCTGGTGGATTATCTACATTTATGGACTGGACTGGACCACCTACACTTGGCCTCTATCCACGTGGCTTGGGCTTCTCATAGCATTGCAGTTATGAGTATAGCATTTTATAAGTGAAGAAAACCAAGACTAAACTGTAAGATGTATTGTCTAGGCTTGGAAGCTCTAGAATGTCACTTACACTGCACTTTTGTTTTTTTCATTTTTCAAGTAATTACTCAGGCCAGCCCAGATACAAGGAGAGGTGTGTGTGTATGTACAGGGAAGGAAGAAAGAAATTTATGGTGGACATGTTTGGAGACTGTCTAGCTACAAGCGAATGTATTATCTTGGAGGAAACTCTATCTGTACAAGGACCTTTCTTTATCAGGTAATCTACTGCATTGCTGAGCACCAGCAGCAGCTTCAATACTAGGTATATTTTGGGGAGGAAGAAAGGACAGAATCAGTAGTTTGAGACAGTGGATAAGGAATTAAGCTTGGGAGAGATAATGTAGGACATAGAATGAGTAGATTAGGGGGTAGGGTGGGACGGTGAGTACTGAAGAAAAATTGTCTACTTTTTACCTGCTTAGTGTATGTTGGAGTTAGGTTGGAGAGAAAGGCAAGCAAAATGGAAAAGGCATTGTAGAATATTTATATATATGTACATCTTTAATTTTTTATTTTAAAAATTAAAAAAACTAGCAAAATAACAATGAAGACAAAATTGAAACAACACAAAAATACCAAAGCGATACATGGCCTCAAAACAAAATGATAGGAATTAACGAGATTATCTTAAAAGCTGAAGAAATTCCCATCATTCCCCCAGCTAGATATGACTATTTATTTTCTTTTCAATCTTAATTCCTCTATATGTTTTATGTCCTTGGCATCACTCTGTGTGGGGCGTAGGTTCTGTACTTCTCGCTTAGATTTATTTTATAAATGTTGCTCCAGTGTCAGCTGTTATCTCTGCCCACATTGTTTTAGAGCCTTTGTCCCATTCTAGCTGAGGGAGACTGGTGTAGGGCTCCTGAGCTGAGTAAGCTTAGGGAGGGTGACTCAGGTCTCTTTCTGTCTGTCATCCACTAGTGAATGTATAAGGCACTGGGGAAGCTGGGTTTGGCCCCTCCGTGTCTCAGAGAACTGTCCCAGCCCAGGCTGCCTGCTGGGGATGAAACCCTCAGGGTGCTGCCAACAAGGGGCACTTTTCCTTTAAGGTGGGAGGCAGGGGGAGCTTTTTCTTCCTTTTCTCTTCAACCTTTCAAGGAGCTTGTTGGTTTCTTAAAATTGTTAAGCCGGATCACAAAGGTTTAGATTTCTTGTCTCTATAAGGGCTTACATTTCTTCCTGAAAGGGGGATTTAATTTTACTGCTGTAGCAATTTTTCACCACAAGAATCTGCTTACTTCTTTTTCTGATACTGAGATGCCAGGCTTGGCACATTCTGGGCAGGTAGAGGGCATCCCCTTGCTCTGCAGTGTCCTCTGCTCTTGGCTCATTTGAATTTTACCTTTTCTTCAAAGCTCGCTCCACATCTTTCCATGTTCTCCTCAAGCCTTCTATGGCCTCTTGTCCCCATACTCAGGTTTGTCAACAACTTAAAATCTTTACTGTTTGTTTTCAGTCATATTCTCCTAGAAGACAGCATGATGTCACAAACAGATGCTGGGCTGGAAATCAAGACACTTGTGATCTCGTCTCATTGCCAACCATCTGTGTGACCTTGGTGAAGTCTTTGCACTTCTTGGGCTTAGCATCCTCAGCTTTTCAATGAGGCGCTGATCGCACATGTTCCTTCCTGTTGTGAGCCAGTGATCTGAGTCCTTCGACTTTTGAGGTTACCCTTGCACATCAATCCAGAGACGCTGGAAACTTGCCTAGTCAGTTCACGCTCACTTCCCCCACTGACCTTGAGTCTTCTTGTTCATAAGGCATCATCGGAACAATTTGGAAATGTGCATTATTATTGGAAACGTGGATTGGGTCACTTCTACAACCTTCCTCCTGCTCTACCCTTGCTTATCTCTCTCTTTTCATCCAGTAAGTAGACTTCAGACTGTGTTCTTTCTTGTGGTTGATGCTCTGAGTCTCTGATTATGATAAAGTACAACAAATGGAAGCGTGCTTTCTAAAGGCTGTACTTCAAACACTCCCTTAACACAACATGCCACATATCAATGCCAGTAGAATGCCCACAGACCAATTTGGTTCTCCTTTGATGAGGTGGAGATGCAAGGCAATAACCATTCCTCTTGGAGGGAGAAGTGATTAGCTGGAGGGCTGTTGAGTCCCTGCTATCTCCCTCACCAGAGCATAAAGAATCATTGCAAGGACAAGCGGTTGGCCCTGGAGGTCGGTGCTTACTCGGTGCAAAATAACTCAAGATTTTGTTTTACTGAAATGATTATAGGAGGGAGATGAACACGGTTTGATTTAAAAATCAGAAAAAAGCCAGAGATTTCTAAGGCCACTTTTAATGTCCTCAATTGTGACATATTTTGGGGTTAGCCAGAGATTACCAAATAATTGCTATCCAGTAAAAATCCCCACCTGTCCTCTAGATTAACTTGAATCACATTCCCTCTTTCTTCCTCCAGGGTACACACCCTGCCTCTGGGCTTTCCCTCCTGCTCTTTTGTCTGCTTGAGATGCGCAGGCTCACATTACCCCTATCAAAATTCCACTCATTCTTTGAAGCAAAAAATAACTTTACTGATTCCTTTACTGTGGACTTGGGAGTCTGAACGATATGGGATTAAACTTTAGGTTTTCTATTTCTGAAGGAGGTTACTTAACTGCTCCCAGGAACCTTAACTTTCTCACTTTTAAAGCAGAGCTAATATTCCCTGCCTTCCTAGGTTGCAATGAAGAGTGCACAATGTGGCAGGAGGCTTACAGCTCTGAACACAATGTCTGACACATAGAGAGGTCCAATCAGTGGTATTCACTGTGGTGTCACGTATGTTGACATGTTATAGGCAATAAAATAGTGGCTTTTGTTTGAAAATTGTTTATCCCTTGAGGGTTCGTATGTTGGAACCCTTGTCTCTAGGGTAGTGACATTAAGAGGTAGTGGAACCTTTAAGAGGTAGAGCCCAGTGGAAGTGTTTAGGGCATTGAGGGCAGTGCCCTCAGAAGGGATTAATGCTGGCCTTGTGGAGTGAGTTAGTTATGCTGGGAGAGAATGGTTATAAAGGAGCAATTTCTAATTTCCTGTCTTAACATGTGGCTATGTTCTCTCATTTTTGTAGGTGCCTCTGCCATGATGACATCCATCGTGTTGTGATGCAGCCAAAGGAACACTTACCAGAGGCTGAAGCAATTGGACCACACAATCTTGGACTTCTAGCTTCCAAAATTGTGAGCAAAATAAACTTCTTTATAAGCTTCCCAGCCTCTGATACTTCATTATAGCAATAGAAAAATGCACATAGACATGTAATGTATCCCGGTGCTAGACAGAAAACTTCTTGAAGATAGGGATTATTTGACACTCTTATCATTTTCAATGCCAAGCACAAAGCTTAGTATAAAGCAAATTTCTGAGTTATTTTATTCAGATGAATTGACAATGTCATTAAAGCTGCCTTTCTTTCTGATTGTACCCAACAAAGGCAAGAGAGTCGACGCTGCAAAGACAGGGCAAGAAACACCTATATTTTAGGTTTATATTTTATCAAATGTGTAGCTTTGGGGTCTTGCCTCTTAAAGTGCAAATTCCAGGGAGGAGGAAGGGGACTGAGACCATGACCTTTCATGTGTGCTTTCAATATTTAGTGCTCTGCAGGGCACTTGCTGAATATTTAAGTGTGTTGCTATTCATGATAAAAGCTTGTAGAGTGACAGATCTGGGAGCAGAGGCAACTCAGTAATGGATTTCATCTCAAACAAATGCAGGAGAAAGCCAGCTTAAAGCTTGTAATTACCTTAACTACTCCAGCTCCATCCTAAAATCGTGTTTTCCTTGAACAATGCAGCTATGCGTATCCGGGCTTCCTTTTAGTGATGAGCCCTGAGTGTTACATCTGACAATGGAGAGAGAGACCTGGCAGTGGGCAGCTCTTTTGCTAATATGTCAGGGGTAAGGTCCACTGGGCAAGTATTCTTTAGAGTTTCTGAAGAGTAGCCCTGCTTATGAGAAAGTTGTCACCCAACCTGACTTTGGATTCAGTGTTGGTGACTACAGCAAGATAATTGAAGCTTAGGTCATTAGGGGCAGTGTAGCTCAAACTTGTGGTTAAGTACCTAACTTCCTGAGTCTGCATCCCAGCTCTACTCCCTGCTTGCTTGTGATTACAAGCTGTGGACACATTACTCAGTTTTATTGAGCCTCACTTTCCCCATCTTACAGATCAAAAGACTAGCACTTGTAAATTACCTAGAACTCTGCCTGGAGCATGGTTAAGAGTTGGTTGTTATTTAGAGCTGTACGGGCTGTTCTTCCACATTTTATGAAAAGCCATATATCTTGTGCTTTTCTTGTCTTGGTTGGGCTGAAGAGGACTCCTCTGGTGAAAAAATAACTTCTGCAGTGGTCCAGGCAGGAGATAAAGCACCGGATGGAGGAGAGAGATTTAACTCATGACAGGTACATGTGGAGCTGCTGGAAGACCCAGGGTGGCTTCCAGGTGACCAGGAACAGGTTCTGGGGGATGAGGAGCTAATGCCTTAAATGAGGCAGGAGACACTATGGAAAGAGAAGTTCATATGGTGGTGGTGGTGAGGTGGGAGTTGAGTTTACGACACTGTAGAATATTGAGATGGCAGGTAGAGGTATCTAAAAAAACATTGGTACTTCAGTTCTGGAGCCTTGGAGTGGGGCCCACATGAAACTATAGAATTTAGGAATCATCAGTATTTGCAACGAATGCCATGATAACTAATAAGATTCTCCAGACAACTGCTGCAAAATGTCTGATATCTAACACAGGGCCAGGTGGTAAACAACTTTAGGCTGTGTAGGCTGGGAGGTCTCTGTTACAAGCACAGAACTCTGTCCTTTTAGTTTGAAAGCAGCCATAGACTATATGTAAATAAATGAAGGATCTGTGTTCCAATAAAACTTTATTTACAATATCATTTTGCTCACCCTTGCTGCAGTTCAATGTCTTGTAAAAAGTAGGTATATGATAAGCATTTGTTATATTAGTTTATGAGCTGCAGAAATTGTCTGAAGTTCATGAGGATTTTTAAATTTTTTAAATTAAACTATTAGAGGCTCAAACTTTTTATTGTGACCTACAAAGATACCACAACAACAGTTTGGAGGTAGGATGTTTGGATAATTGTCTGGATTACTGGTAATAAACATAAAATGAGCTACCATGAATTAGAGATATATTCTTGGATTGCAAAGATCTAGCTGGGAACTTTTCTGAACCAGGTCTTAGGACCTTATCCATATCTGGATAAATCAGACTGGTGAATTGTAGGGCCAGGTGATGAGAGAATCATCCTATTTTGAACTCCCCAAGAATCAGGGCTAGTGGGTAAGGCAAGAAGCCTCAACTTCCAGGAGCGCACTTTTAGAGTCCTCAGAGACCATGGAAGACACTCTCTTCAGGTCCAGTAAATCGACTACAAATGTGTTAAATAATTAAGAAACTGCTCACAAGTATTTGGAGCTTCCATTGTGAAGAAGTGGAAGAAGATGGGAGGAAATGGAACATTTCCGGTGAGAGAAAATCAAACAGAAGATGAGGAATTAAAGCAATGTGTATGTGTGTGTGTGGGTGACATTTTGTACTCAGGAAGATAGTTGTGGAAAACAGAGAAAAGGAGAGAGAGAGAGTCTTCCATTTAAATAACAGGATGACATAACAGATTATAAGTATCAGTTATTAAAACAATCAACACAAAGGTAGAGGGTTTCAGCAACTGAGCCACCCCCTGGGACATTTCCCTTTCCTTCCTGTCTTAAACTTCTTACTGATGGATCCATCTACCAAAGCTTGTCTTTTACTTTTGAAATCTGAAGCTCCACAGCTCAACCCTGACCACTTTCCTGGGGATAATTCTGGGGTCCTGGCTGTCAAATCATGGAAGAAAGCCTAGTCAGGAGACTTAAGTTTGACCACAGGTTGCAAATGGCTTTTCTGCTTGTCTCCAAGCAGAAAGTGAGAGAACATGGAGAAGCCCAAGGGGGTTTTCCGGTTTTCCAGATAACTGAGATGTGGAGTGTCTGTGATGGCGGCAGCTGCTACTCTTTCTGTATGTGTGCACACGCAAACGTGTACATGTGTACATATATATTCAAACATTTGCACACAGACACTTTCATATGTATGTTTGTAATATATGTCTGTGCATTCGTGTACATGTATCTATAATTGTATTATATGCACTGACAGGCATTTCTGAATGTTTGAATTGCTTGCCAGCAGGCCCAACACTGAGTTTGTCAGATCTCCCATTTAAGGCAGTAAGAGCTCACATGTACTTGTAGGGTGAAGACAAGAGAGCAATTCTGCATTTGGTTTCTGAGTTTAGATAGTATTGGGGATAGCGAAGATCAAAAGGAACGTTTAAAAGTCAAGATATTTAAAAGTTAAAGAGTTATGAAGTCCTTACCCCTGGGCCCACCTCCAGCATGGCAGCATGTGACGCACCAAGCAGGGGTAGCTGACACCACTGCGCTCTCAGCCTGCACTCTGTGGCTTGTGGGGGCTCGCCTGGCCTGCTTCTCAGGTTGGCAGCACTTGTTTGTCCTGAAGGCATTCAAGTTTAGTTTCTTGATGTTCACACTCAAACACATCTTCTTTACTTTGCCCCCAACATGTTCTTTCTGAAACTCAAGTCCAATCAGGCCACATCTTGCTTTTTAAAAACAAAGCTAAAGCTTCCTTGTCTCAGAACAGGTCTTACCATCACCTGCATAGCTTCCTCTTTTTCTTTCCTATCACTTTCTGCCACATCTCTGCAGTTCAATGCACCTAGTGCTTCGATTCTTCTGTACAATCCCCTTTCTCTTCCCAGGCCACACATGCATTTTCCATCGAGCCAAACCCTTGGTGGATTTCTACCCATTCTTCCAGACCCAAATCATTTACTATGTCCTGTGTGAAAGCTTGACTGGTTTCCACACCCTGCCCATGCATCTACAATACTCTGATTGTGTTTCTGTATTTTGATACCTATTTTGTGCATAATCATAGTCTGGACATGAGTTTTAGGGTTATATCTAGGTTGATTCCTAGCTATGTGGTTTTTGACAAGTTCCTTTAAATACTTTGGGTCTCTATCTTACAATCTGTAAAATGCGGATGGTCAGTGAACGTGTTCACAGGGTTTTTAGTAAGTCTCAATGCAATGTATGTCAATGGGTTTACTGAGCACAGAGTCTGAAACATAGTATTCAATAAATTAAAGCTTCTCTTCTTTTTGTGCTCCACTTAACTTTGACTTTGTAGAGATCTGGTACATGACTTAAATATCTTGGTTGCTGAAATGCTAGGTCTATGTTTAGTGCATGGCTGGTTCCAGTTTTATGTTGGTACAGATGAGAATACAACCAAGTGGGAAGTAGGACATAAGAACCTGTTTGGCTGAATGGTGTGGTGGGTTGAATTTTTGGTCCCAAGTGTGTAGTCTGTACCATATATTCATAGTTTGTCACTACCTTATGAATGAACTTCTTTATTCTGTAGCTTTAGGATTATCCATCTACCAGGCTTTGGCCAATGGACTATTAGGGGATATGATTCAGTCAGAGTACTGATCCCTGAAGGATGAGAACTAGTGGAAGGTGATCTGAATCTAATGCTTGGCCTAGAATCAAACCTAGTCAAATCCAGTGTAGATCAGTGTAATGCTAACCCATTAAGTTTTGTGGTAGTCTGTTGCCCAGGAAAAGCTGTTGTAAATGCTTATATTGAAGAGAAAATAATTGATTATTTCTATCTAATATTTGTGGTCTGACTTTAAAGACTGTGTGTATAAACATGAAATAATAAGAAATAATACACAGTGGGAAAAATGTAGAATGCTTTGCTGAAAGATGGGTGTGGGGTTGATAAAGGAAATAAATTATTAAAATTCATTTCAAATGAAAGGTGATGGCTGAACTTCCCTTCCTGAATTTTATTGACCTCAATTAAGAGAAGACATTTCTAATAGTCAGAATGAGGAGGGAACCTTTTTTGACTGCCTTTTCAAACACAGGTTCTCTGTTAGCATGCTTTCTGTTGCTCAGACACAGTACCTGACACCCACAATTTAAAGCAGGATGGGTTTATTTTGGCTCACGGTTTCAGAGATTCCCTTGGAATGAGGTAGCAATATCATGGCAGAAGAACTCAGTGAAGGAAAGCTGGTCACTTCACGGCAACCAGGAAGCAGAGAGCAGAGGAAGAACACTGAGC